AAATTATTATTTGGTCATATCTTACACTGTCCGACGTCTCCCTTTCTGTACTGTTTTAAAATCTTTATTCTGGTTGGTTTTGTCTCCCACAACTGAGTGGATTAATGAGATCAATGCTCAATAACATTTGCTTTTGTTTGTCAGTAGTACGTTCTTCAGTTGACCAAGCTGTTATATATTGGACTTTTAAATGTCTTGTACCAAAAGGCTGACTACATAAAACAGTTGTAATAATTTGAGTTTTCTATATTTTCCGATTGTTAGACTATGCACAGTAATTTTATACCAGAAGATGGTGCTGTGAGATTATCTGGTAAGGAATAATGTGACTTTTCAATAAGTCTGAATTTGAAATTTACAGGGCTATGAGAAGTTTAGCAACTTACTATAGCAACATTACTTGATTTAAAAAGAAGGCAAACTTGGCTCTATCATGTTCAAAGCCAGCTAGAAATGTAAGGGTTGAAGTAATTTCTAATTTTCAAATGTGCTTTCTTCTGTACATTAATAACTTCACTGAAGAAAAATAAGAGAGGATTGATTATAGATAGCCCTTGAATTAAGATAGGATTCTAGTCTAATAATGACCTTATGGTAAGTTTTTCATTATTAATTCCTTTTATTATCAGAGTCTTTATAAATTCAATCTTTATTTGTCTTTGGGAATTAGAAACATCACATCTGAGAATGATAACATCAGCTACTTGTGTGCTACAGCACTGTATATAGCACATATTACTAATAATAGGCTATATAACCCACCCCACCCCCCCGCCCAAAAAAAATCTGTTATTAAATACAATTTGTAGTGATTTGAATATATTGCAAGTTGGGGGACTACTGGTATGTTCATTTACTCCCCTCCTAAATTGTGAGAATCCGATTTGCAGAAGGTGATTGAAGACAGTGGGAGGCCTAAGATTCATTTCGGGAAACTACATAGGAAATAAGTAGGAAAGCAAAACCCCATATAAACGAAATATAACATTGTCCATCATCCTCCTGTGTTATCATCAATTTTCCCAGTGACCCAGCACTGTCGGCATGAGGAGACTAGGCGAGTACAGTTCCACCTTGAGCCACTCCCTCAGTGGGCCTGGCTAGTCTTTATGTGCCGTTTCAAATTTCCTTTCTGGATGCTTAAGAACAGTTTAACATGCTAAATGTCTTGCTCCAATATTTATTCTTTAACAAGTATTTTCTTATTAATTCCTTAAGTAAACTTAGCTAAAGGAACCCCGGTGGCTCTATGGGAGCAAGGTGAGGCAGTCTGCTTCCATCAAGAGTACAGTCTTGGAACTCCTAAGGGCATTTCTACCGTGCTCAGTGGCAGTACTGTGGGTTGGACCCCACTCTGTGGCACACAGCAATGAAAACACTTTCCTTTGTTGTTTATTTTATTTCTGATTGTTTCATAATTACTGTTCTGTTTACTACAGTCTCGGAAATTTTCCCCAAGGATAATACAGTTAATAATGTAGTTAGTGCATTTTAACTCATAGTGATCCCATGTGCCGGAGCAGAACCCCTATCCCTAGGTTTGTTGAGGCTGTAATCGTTATGGGGCAGCTTGTATGTCTTTTCCCAGGAGCCTCTGGGTGGGTTCAAACTGTCAGTTGCCAACCTTTCAGTTAGTCACTCAGCAATCAATTGTTGTACCATGTTTAAATATGTGGGTTTCTTTTTAGGAATCTTGTCATTTTCCTTTTTAAAGGGCAAATTGCCTGTGTCCTCCTGAGTGTATTATACTATAATAGAATATAGTACTTTATAGTAATGTGTCTCAACCTGTCTGGAGGTGGATCAGTGTTGTCCTTAATTTCCGTTTTGGTATGGGTTGATACTACTATAAAAGAAATTACTAAAAAATAGACTTGACTAAACATAAAATTACTGAGTTTTAAGTTATTTAAACATTTTTTGACTTTATGTTTTTAATAAGCCATGAGCATCTCTCTTAGATGCTGAAAAGACAGTTGATGAAATTCAGTATCCATTTGCAATTATCAAAGAAGCATAGAAAAGTTTTCAAATCCTCCTTATAGCATAGAAATTAAATCGGTGAATCATTAATTAATAAATATAACATGTTTATTTCAGACCAGAAGGTAATTCAAAGTGGAAACGGTGGGAACATTCTAATTAAAATCAAGGCAAGACTGTCTCTTGCCATAACTATTACACAATATTGTATCAATGATTCTCAGCATGTAGCTGTTAGGTGCCATCTGAGGGGCTGTAACTCAGGCCAACCCAATGTACAACAGAAGGAAACCCCTGCTCAGCCCTGCCCCATACTCAACATTGGTTCTTATGTTTGCCTCATTGTTGCAGCCACGGTGTCAAATCATCTTGTTGAGGGCCTTTCTTTTTTTACTGCCCCTCCACTTTACCACCCATGATGTCTTTCTCCATGGACTGGTCTCTCCAGATAACGTGTCCACATGTATGAGATTAAGTCTCACTCCTTGTTTCTAACAAGACCTACACAATGATAGCTAAGGGCAAATGGAGAACTGTCTTTGTCTGCTGCTGCTGCTGCTGCTGCAATACTGGAAGTCTGAGCATCATTTTAATGTATTTATCAACAGAATGATATGACAACGGTCCGGCTACAATGGGGAGATATCCTTATGCCTTTGCTTAAAAAATACAAACTGAACATCACCTGGGGCGATCAAGATTTATTGAATATCATGTTTTTTCATAATCCAGGTAATCATTCATTGTTCTTTGATCTGTTGCATTAAAGAAAAATGACAAACTATTTAGTCAGAAATGAAGAGCCATGATTTGTTTTGCTGCATTAATTATTACTATTTATGTTTATGATAGACCTTAACTTTTCTTGAATATGAGTCAGAAGAGGTCTAAATGCCAACCATTTCCATTATTTTGAATCTTCTGAGTTGTTATTTTTTTTAATTGTTTGAAGTTTTAAAATCCATTTGTTTGAAATAAACTTGTATATCACTAAAGAATTCAGTTGTTTTTCCTTCATGCCTAGTGAGAGCAATGGTTAGATCTGAGCGGTAAGCAATCTAGAGGGTTCTTGGATTTGGGTGCTGTTGTTTCTGTGGAATTAAAGGCCTTTGATTATTGCCTCTCTCTCTGCAGAGAGCCTCTTTGTTTTCCCGTGCCAGTGGAATTACCGCCCAGATCACTGCATATACGGGAGCGATTGCCGAGAAGCAGAAGAGGGAGGGGTCTTCATCCTTCATGGGAACAGAGGCGTTTACCACGATGATAAGCAGCCAGCATTTAGAGCTGTGTATGAAGCAATGAGAAATGTAAGCACTTACTCTTTTTTAAGTTTTATTTATTGATTTTAAAAACCATTTTATTGAGGGCTCTTACGGCTCATAGCACAATCTGTACATACATCCATTGTGTCAAGCATGTTTGTACATATGTTGCCTTCATCATTCTCAAAACATTTTCTTTCTACTTGTTTTCAGCTCCTCATTTTTCCCCTCCCTCCCTCATGAACCCTTGGTAATTTATAAATTATTATATTTTTCATGTCTTAACGCTGACCACTGTCTCCCTTCACCCACTTTTCTGTTGTTTGTCCCCCTGGGTGTGTGTGTGTGGGGGTGTTATATGTCAATCCTTGTGATCGGTTTCCCCTTTCTCCCGCAATCTTCCCCCTAACCTGGTTATTTGGAAATACCTTGACATTTTCAGAGAAAGCTTGAAAGAATCGTACCAAGAACAACCATGTATCTTTTGCTCAGGTACAATAGTAATTAACGGTTTATGCTGTTTTCATTATTATTAATTCTCAGTGTGTACACACGAGGGTCTATCCCGGTCCCCAAGTCATTTGCGTGTTGTTTGCGTACTTCACACCCTTTTACACTTAAAAAACACCAGCGTCTACTACGAACAAGGAGAATCTTTGCTTCATCACAATATAGATGTCAACCTCAGGAAATTTACTGTTTGTACAGTACTTGAATCTACCATCCACATATTTTTCTTCTCTTTTAGAATGGTTTCTTCGCCTTTCCTTGTCTTTTGTGAGATTGACAGTTTTGGAGACTAGTGTTCCCATCGACTTTTGTTCTTTGTTCTGGCTTGTTTGATGTTTCCTTAATGATCACCTTCGTGCTGCCCATTCTGGCCAGCATACTGTATAAGTGATGTCGTTGACCATCTTTCTGTATCACATTTGTAGCCGCCTTTGTCTCTCTACCCCTCTTTGGTAATGTCGATTTTGATCTCTCAGTCAAAAAATATCACCTACTTTCCCCATTGCACAGTTATTTTTCCTCTTCGAAATAATCTATTGGGAGACTCTTTGAAAACCCACAGAGTCTGCTCCTCCTCCTCAGAATTTCCCTTTTAGATTTAGCATCCATTGATGTTCTTGTTCATACCAGTTTTTTTCTATGATATTTGCACCTTGAAGACTTCTTGAACTTCCATGTATGTAATCTGACACTCAGCATTCTGTAAAGAACAGTCCTTCACCTTGAACTCATTGCTATATTTTGTTATAATTTATATAATTCATTATTCTCTTTTAATTACGATGAAGCAATGTGTTCAAGTTTTGGTTCGTAGAAACCTGTTTGACTACCTTCTGAGCCCTTTTGACATATCCCCATCATATTGTGGTAGTATATCTGCATTTTCTGCCCCAGCAATGTGTTCTAACCTAGTCTTTTAACTTCCCTGCCTACCTTAGTTATCCAGCATCCTTATAACAGAAATACCACATGTGGCGGCTCTAACAAACAGAAATTTATTCTCTCACAGTTTAGGAGGTCATAGATTTGAATTCAGGGTGTCAGCTCTTGGGGAAGGCTTTCTTTCTCTCTTGGCTCTTGAGGAAGGTTCTTGTCGCCTTTAAATATCTGCAGCCAGTATTCCCTGGAGATCTACATGTGTCTTGGCATCGGTGTTCCCTGGGCTGAAAGCCTTTTCTTTCTTGGCGATAGTAAGCCCCTCTCATCTGTGTGCTAGTCTAATCTTTTTTATATCTCAAAGGAGATTGATTCAAGATACAACCCAATGCTGTGGTATGTTTTATCCTGCCTCATTAATAAACTGACAGTAATCTTGCTTCAGTAACATGGTAGAGAGTAGGATTTACAGCACATAGGATAATTAAAAGGATCCCATCCCTTGTGGTATTGTGGGTTACACATTGAGCTGCTAGCCACACGGCCAGCAGTTCTAACCCAGCAGCCACTCAGCAGCAGAAAACTGAAGCTGTCTGCTCCCTTAAAGTTAAAAGCCACAGAATTTCAAAGGGGCAGTTCTACTCTGTCCTGTAGGGCTGCTATGAGTCAGAATTGACTTGAGGGCAGTGAGTGAGTGCGTGAGTATAATTAAATTATATTACAAAATGGAGGACAATCTTGTAATACTAAGAATTAAAGTCCAACCAAGTTGACACGTTTTTTTTTGGGGGGGGGGGGGCCACAAATCAGTTCATAACATTGCCCTAGCTCTTAAGCAGCCTTTGGTTCAAAGAGCCCACTTCCTTTTATTGTGCTCTGTTTGGTACATGTGCTTATTGCTGTGGGAGTGTCTTTACTTCTAGGCTCATTCTGTGTCAGAACTAGAAAATATGAACATACACTTAAATGACATTGTGTGTCTACACTGTGCCTCCCAAGTGCAACCTGTCCTTCGGACTTACTGCTGCTCTATATTTTCACCTCTTTTCCGTAGAGTTAAGAATCCTGGCACCCAATAGCGACATTTCCTCATTTACTTAATCTTAAAATAATTAAAAAAAATTTTTTTTCAGAAATGCTTCATTTCACACCATTACCTCTTATCCTATTCTCACCACAAATAATCACAATTTACTATTGAAAATTCAGGATTTGCTTCAAATTCTTGCCTGCAGAGTGAGGGTGTATGCTTAGTGATATATTCTGGAATTACTTGGGTTAATCCATTTTTATTTCCTTCATGTTATTTTATTCATCTAAATACCTTTCAAGGCTTTTACCAATGTGATGGACAAGAAAGGCAATCTTAGTATAGTACTAATTTGCACTCCTCTTATTATGAGTGAAATTGGGATCTTTTTGTGTATTTAAGGACCATTTTAATAAAACTTTCTGATGAGTTATCTCTTAAATCTTTGGCCATGCTCTTATAAACCAAAACCCAGTGAGTCAATTTCAATTCATGATGATCCCATTTGTGTCCCAGAAGAATTATGATCCTTAGGGTTTTTAATGACTTTAATTTTTGGAAGTCCATAGCCAGACCTTTCTATTTTTTTTTTTT